GTTTTTAAAGCGGAAGGACCAAAATTAACAAAGGTCTTCCATGTGTCAGGACCTGTGTGAGGGTGCCCTATCATCTTACTTATCCCTCTTAACTATCTTGACAGGTACATGTTCTTGTTATTACCCCTATTGCCCAGGTGAGAAACCTGGGACTCACAAAATAAAGTGCTGTGCCCAAGTTACAGTTTGTGGTGTCAGAGGTAGGACTTAGGCATATTTGTCTCCAAAATGCAGGTTGATAAAGCAAATCCAGAACACTTTCTCAAATTTAGGAAGGGAGCAAGCCTTTCTATGCTTTGCCCCTGATGACACACATACACACTCACATACAAACATGAGTTCCTCACTTGTACAAAACAGCTCTATGCCTTTTTTCCTTCTACCACATCACATCTCTGTTACCCGTTTTTTTTTTTTTTTTTTTTTTTTTTTTGCCCCAGCTCTAGGCCCTCTCCTACAGGAAGACTTCCTGAATTAATCTGCTAATCTTCAGCTCATCCACCTGTTTAATAGGTATGTTGGCCTCTAACTCTGTAGCAGGCATTGTATGGTTTTGGGAAAACAAGCATAAATGAGATACATGTACTGCGTCCTGCCTTTGATAACTCAAGGATCAGTGGGGAAGGAAGCAGAGACAGGTACGCACCCAAGTCCCTGCTCCACGGTGTGGACAGTGAGAGAAGCAACATGGCTCATGGATTCCTGGTATTAGCACTGCCCAGCTGGAAATCATGTTGCTCCAAATCCCCTGATGTTCCTCCCACCTCCAGCCCTCTCCCAGGCCACGTTCCACCCTCCTCCCCACCAGCCCAGGTCTGTTTTCTCCATGAAGGCTCTTCTTCTCACAAAATCATATTTTCTCTCAGTTCACGTCCCAGGCATATTTTCTCGTGTGCAGAGATGGGACTTGGAGTTGCTCTAATTGTTCCTTTCCCATTTAGACCCTTTGACTGCTTACCTCTACCCTTCCCTATTTGTTTGTTTTGAGGATTACAAACATAACATAGTGGGATAAGGTGGTAGAGTCACCCAGGCCTGAATTTGCATCTCTAATCTGCTATGCCTGCTATTGCTCTGTGACTTGGGGGACGTGACTAAACTCCTCTGAACTTCAGTTTCTCCACCTCCAAAATGATGGAGCTTAGAATGCCTGCCTCATAGAACTTTTGTGCAAATGAAATGAGATATAAAGTGTCTGGTACAATTTAGACACTTGGCAATTGACACTATCTTGATGACTACGAAGAGAACATTCTTTTTGATGTTGGCACTCTCTCACAGGTGACTGGAGAACCCTTTAAAGCTCTAGAAGACATCATTTGCCCAGAGCAGTGTTTACCTGTTAGTGTCACCATTCCCTTCTCGTAGACCAGGGTCAAACACACTCCTCATGCTGTTCTGCTTCCTGTCCATGGCCTTAAGGTCTTCTGAAGTAGCCCTTGATGAGAGCTTTCCAAGAGGGTGAGGAAATTTAGGTGGGAGGCAGGGACTAGAGGAGAAGAGCCCTAACGGTGGATTTCACAGCTGAGCACTTGGCTCTGTGCTTGACATTTGTTGGACGTTATCAGTAACTCTGAGAGGAGGGTACTGCCAAGCCCATTTTACAGATGAGAAAACTGAGTACAGAGAAAAGAGCAACTTGTCCAAGGTCCCTCAGCTGAAAAGTGGCAGAGGGTTTAAATGTCAAATGCAGGTATGTCTGAGTCTGAAGGGTGTGGACCACAAACTCAGTACAAATGCTTCAACAAGACCTCAGTAGCACAGACCATCACAGCAACAGTCTTGAACAGGAACTGAATTATAGAATATTCTTCAAGAAATACTGCCTTGATATTTTCTAGCATATGTAGCAATTCAACCTGATGGCTAATAAAATGTTTCTATTTATCTGTTCTTAAAAACCCTCTTTGATAATACTCATTCGCAATTAGCAGTATGGTTTACATAAAGGCATCAGATATCCTATGATTCTTAAAAATGTTTTTGTGTTACTTAGTTGGTTAAACATTCCCCCCCTCGATCAGATTTACAATACCTATTTGCTTGGCACTAGAGGTAACAGATTGGTTTTAGAGTGGGTCAATTTGGTCCAGATTTTCAAGCACAGACCTAATTGTGTATAATTATGGTCTTTTTGGTGAAGTATATGACAAAACATCAAAGAACTTTTCAGACAAACTCATTTGCAAATCAGGCAATTTAACCCCTTATTAGACCACATGCCCAGATTTCTGCTGTGGCAAGTTTATTCACTTATGAATAAATAAATGAAGCCAGGAATTAATTTACTTTCTGTGACCCTGAGATTGCTACTCTGAGATGCAAGGAGGGGGACTCTCTTCTAACCTTGGGGAACCTAAGGCCAGCCCTGGGCCTGGTTTCTGGGGAGGGTCAAAAGCTGAGAGTGCAGCCTCCTGCCTCTGCAAAGAGTAACAGGCAGGAGAGTTAAGGAAGCTGAGATCTACCATCAGCTCAGCTCTAATGCTAATTTTCTACTTAACATGTGCTAGGTACAGGCCATTGCCACCACACCCCCTTATAATTAGGGGGAAAAAAACATTCTTTTCTAATAAACAAATGACATTATAATTGGAAACTCAGTGATCTTAAAATACAACTTTTCCCTGTGGTTGTCATTGCCTTAAAGAAGAGTTAAAGATCAACTATTGTAAAACCAAAGCATCTCTTTGCTGTTGGTTGGTTTATAAATAAACACCTCATACAACATGTATTCCCGTTTAGTTACCTGGTGAACAAACACTTAGCAAGTAATTTGTCATCAGGAGTACACCAGGGAAGGGTGTGAAGCAAAGCCAGACATTTAATGGATAGTTTACTGAGATTTTATTTATAGCTGGTTTTCTTTTTTCTTTCCAGGCAAAAACTACAGAACCAGTCCACACCGAGTGGACCTCTGGGGCTCCCAGCTGCCAGCTGACCTGAACCCCAGAGGTGAACCTATGTTGCTTTGTGGCTTCAGGAATCCTGGTAACATCACTGTGCTTTTGCGTGTGTGTGTGTCCTAAATCATTCCTGAGGCCCCCTCCTCCTCCTGCAATTTGACAAGCCTTGACCAAATCATAAACTCCCAGTTAATGGGATAAAAATGAGTTTGAATCTAGGATTCTGGCCATTAACCCCATGTCACCATCTGCTTGAGCAGTTTGATGGCAGGGCCAGGTGAATTCTAATCACCCAACACTTGTTAAACTGCAGATTCCTTCTTCCTTGCCCCTGCTGACTCAGCATCTCTGGGGTGGGGCCTGCAAAGACTCTTTTCCTTGACAGTGTTATTGCAGGCAGCTCTAGGAACCCACCCAGGACCAGACCTGATAAGGAGTTCCTGCTATGCATCAGGCATGCCAGGTCGGTTTGTGGAGTTTCATACTTGCATTTTTCTCTGCCTGGAGAGCTCCTTGCAGCTGGCTGCTTCTGTGTCACAGTCCCCAGAGGGGTCTTGTCTCCTTATCTCCACCCTCCACACTGCTCACTATTCCATTACAAGTTTCCTTTTCTACCCAGTACTAATCATTTTCTGCAATTCATCTCATCTTTTTGTGAATTATCTGTTGGTCCTACTGGAATATAAGTCTCCACATGGGGGCAGAGACCCTGCATGGCTTGTTAGAAGCTGTATCCCCAGCATTGCAGCATATGAGGGATGCTCAGAAATATAAGAATTGACGAACAAATGAACACATGAGTGAATTCATTCAGCTCTGATGCTGAGGCTGCCTCTTTGAGATGAAAGAATAGGGGATGCTCTTCTAATCCTGGGGAGCCTGGTGCCTGCCCTGAGCCTGGCTCGCAAGGCAGATGAGAGGTACCTCCTACCTCTCAACCCTGTCTATTGTTACCCCCAACACCCAGGGAAGACCTCACTGGAGCCAGAGTCAGTGCAAGGGTCAAGAGGAGTATCTGCACCTAGAGAATCTCAGCTGAGGTTACCTGATTTTAAAAAGCCTGGACTTAAGGAGCTATTGACTCCTTAGCTTCATTGCCTCCAAAACCACAGGGGCAAGTAAAAGTTGAGGTTAGGTACGAACTGAATGTTGTTTAGCTACCCTATTTAAAAAATTGTTTTTGTTTGCTTCTTGAGGCAGGGTCTCACTCTGTTACTCAGGCTGGAGTACAGTGACGTGGTCATAGCTCACTGTGGCCTTGAACTCCTGGACTCAAGCTCTCCTCCTGCCTCAGCCTCCTGAGAAGCTGAGACTACAAGATGCCATCACATCCAGCTAATTTAAAAAAATTTTTTTTAGAGATGGGGGTCTCCCTATGTTGCCCGGGTGGGTCTTGAACTCCTGGCCTCAAGGAATCCTTCCGCCTCAGCCTCCCAAAGCACCGGCCACAGGTATGGGCGCTGCACCCAACCTAAAGAGTTATTTTGTCTTCACTTCTAGCTTGCAATGGATTGCTTATCTTGGCACTTCTCATGACGGCATCTCTCCACTTTCCAATCTAACAGGATAATGATGTCATACAGAAATAATTTACAGTAGGTATTTAGTAAATGCTTGCTGGTGTGCAATATGGAATAAAATTCACAAGAGGAATTCCAAACTGTTTTTTATCCTCAATTCATTTTTTAGTAACCAAAAATTAGTCTGAAATTTGAGTCCTCACCCTTCAGTATAAAATCAGTAGCTTTTAATTTTCCCTTATTTTGTTTGCTTTAAAGAGACACACCTGGCCAGGTAGGGTGGCACGCACCTGTAATCCCAGCAGTTTGGGAGACCGAGGCGGGTAGATCGTTAGGTCAAGAGTTCAAGCCTGGCCAAGATGGTAAAACCCTGTTTGCACTAAAACTACAAAAATTAGCAGGGCATGGTGATGCGCTCCTGTAATCTCAGCTACTTGGGAGGCTGAGGCAGGAGAATCATTTGAACCTGGGCAGCAGAGGTTGCAGTGAGCTGAGATTGCTCCACTGTACTTCAGCCTGGACCACAGAGTGAGACTCTGTCTTAAAAAAAAAAAAAAAAAAAAAAATGAGAGAGAGAGAGAGAGCTATATAGTCCCTTAGTCATGTAAAGGCTGACCCTTCCCCACTGGTCTAAAAGAGGGCTTCTGGACCATGCCTGACCACAGCCATCTGATCCTGTAGAGCCTTTAACCCAGTACCTCTGTTTAAAGAAACAAAAGTCCCCTCCTAAATAAACAAAGCAGGCTTAGCTCAAATCCCTCCAATAGGTAAAAGAAAGTACCATTCCCATGAGCGAGAGACTTGGATTTCTGATTTTATTTCATGTTGTTTCCCTTCCTCAAAGGTGTGAAACTCTACACCACCCCACTCCTTTCCTATTCATCCTCCATTGGATGTTTTTTTCTCTAAATAATTTTTTATTTTCTATTTTTGTCTGTATGTGTTCTCTTCTTGCAGTCTACTTCTGCCCTTCTTTCCCCTGGGAAGGAAAAATAGAAGAAAGAAGCCATCTCTGTTTGCTTTCTCTCTGTCACTCAATGTCTGGAGCCAACTGCTTCACAAATAAAGAAAAGTGCCCAGAGAGTCCCTGAAGCCCACCATCAACAGACAGGCTTTCAACAAAACTGCATCAGCACCACCTTGGCTATAGCTGCCCTCTGCAGAAAACGGGGAGAGAGGAACAGTGCTAAGAGAAGTTTGTCCTTGCCTGGTTCCTGGGTGGAACTTCCTCTCCCCCTTGTGTTCTACACGTGTGGTTACAGCTGCCTCTGATCTTTGGTGACCAGCGGTGGGCAGTGGTGGTATTTTAGCATACTTTGATCATCATACTTATTACACAGCCTCCTTTACTCATCAACCCCACCTGCCTTTTCCTAGCCATGCCCCCCACCTCCTCCCATCTCTGTCCACCTCTCTGCTGTTTTAAAAAGTACTTAAGTGTGTACAGATCACAGTGCACTGCTTGTGTGCCCATTCATATTTGATGACTTCCATATCCCCCGTACAACTAGTTGTGTATTCGTTTTAATTCACCTTATTTATTTCCTAGCTCTTTCATAAAATAAAATGAAATAAAAGAATAAAATGGGAATAAGAGAAAAATAGAATTGAGGGGGAAAGGAGAAATGCATCTATGTTTTTAATCAGGTTCATCTTTCTCCATGCATCAATATGCATACTATTATGAATTCATTACACGTATTTTAACATGCAGGCACTACACGGGGGTGTGATGTCTACATACCACCTGTGTAGCGGTAGGCACTGCAAAAGGACATAGAAAAGTAAAAAGCATAGTCTCTACTCTCATGAGACTTTTCATCTCATGGAGGAGGCACTCATAAGGTCTTTTATCTGTGCCCCACTTGATGTGAAACTCTTGGTAGTCATGATCCTATTTGATTTCCATAAGCAGAAGAGGGGTCACTGTTTCCATGTTATGAGAGAGGAAACTGAGGTTCAGAGAGTGGAAGGACCCTGATGAGATAATAAATAGAACTGGGGCTCAAATCCTGGTCTCCTGACTCAACATTTCGCGTTCTTTCCACTGTGTCATTATTCATTAAGCAAGTTTCTCTGCAGACAACTCACAGAGCCACAACGTATGAAGCAGCATGGTGATGCCAGTAGACTGGTCATCATCAAAAGACATGGCCTGGGGGAAGAGAAAGCAAGAGAGCTGGAGAGAGCAGAGAACGCATGAGGGAAGGGCTTGGCCGTGCAGTTCTAACAGGGAGGTCCTTCCTTTCAGCCCCCGAATGTCCCAGTGTGTCTCATCTAAAAAGCGAAAACGGAGGAGAACTAGAGCTTATGGTTGAAGGCGTGAGAATGAGGTGTCTTTTCCCTCTATCTCTGTAATATACAAGTATAAATACTATATATACATATGTATATGTGTTCCTTTTTTCTGTGTCTGATTATGCATGCAATTTAGCAAGGATTTATTGCCTAATTTTGGTCTGGGCAATTTGCTAACGCAATGTGGGAGGATACCAAGAAGTAAGGGACACAACCTCATTGTTCCCAGAGACTCCTGAGGGTGGGCAAGGCAGGGCATCTGTGCATACTGCTGCTGGCAGAGCTCTGGGTTAGGGGACATCAGGAGACATGACATTGAAGTGTTCTACTCGGTTCTCAGTACAGACTGGATTTCCATGGAAGAAAGAAAATCAACATGTATTGGGAGTCAACGTCTCATTCAATCCTGTGAGTTTATTCTGCCTATTTTTCAGATAAGGAGACTAAGGCTTCAAGAGGGTAAGTAAATCACCCACAGTGTCACTGCTGTTGTGGGAATGAGCGTCAGGATCATTGAATCATGCTGCTTCCCAGGTTTCTTGTAAGGGCTTCAAGTGTTGTGGGTAAGGGCTTGGGTGCTGCCATCAGATGACTGTGCGTTTAAAGCCTGAGCCCACCCACACCAGCTGTGTTACTTGAAACATGCTATTAAACTTGCCTAAACTTCAGTTTGCTCATTGTAAGATGGGAGCAGTAACAGTGCCCACCTCATAGGACTGATGAGCTAAAGCGTATAAAGTACTAATAAGTATCTAATAAAGTTCAGTAATTATGTCACTATTAATACCACTGTTATAATCACTACTGTTGTCTAAGGAGACCCAGGTGACATGAAGCTATTATGCCCTTTGGACTTGAGATCTTGAATTAGGGTTTGATTATGAGACCAGACAAGCAGTGAGATTTAAATATTCATAGACCAGGGTCTATCTAGGTCTCATGGGACAAGGAGGGGACCCTCACAATTGATTTCCCTGAGATGGGAGGGGAAACTCTGCTAGAGGCATTTGCACCTTACTAAGCATCTGTGGTGTATCAAGCTCTCTGCCAGCTTGTGAGGATGTAATGTTCATTAAGACATGTTCCCATGAGCTCTGGTCCAGATTCTACCAGTATGTAGCTGGACCACTGGTTTCTCCTAAGACAAACACAGGAGCCAGATGACTCCTGTAGTCCCTTGTAGACCTAGTCCAGCCCTTGGTGGTTCTGTGAACAGTCACTCACCCAGGGTCTGTCCCATAGAAGTGCCAGCAGTCTTCCCAGGGGAGCGATTAGGAGACTCTTGCTCCTTCATCCTCTGTGAGGGTTGAGAGCCTGAACAGCCTCCAGCCTGGGCCAAGTGTTCTTGGAGGATGCACTTCCTTACCCTAGTCCCTCATCAGTGCCTCCTGTAAGAGCTCCAATGCTTTCTGAGCAATTGACTCCTATATCCATATATCCCTACCACTCCTCAAACCAAACTGCCAACCACCTCTAAGGCAGCTATTGATTTTACTGACCATAATGGAGTGTGTTCTGTGTGTAGTCACAGCACTAAACATCAGAAGGGATTCAAAGAGGAATCAGGCTAATGCCTTTCATCCAAGGAACTGGCAGATGGATGAGCCAGATTGGCACGCACACAGTCAGCACAAGGGTATAGGCTGTGATGGAGCTGGGTGTGCAGAGAACAGAGAGAGGAATTAGCATCCAGTTTCCAATCCTAGTGCTATAGCTGACATTAAGGTATTCTATTACTCTCTCCAGACACAGCCAACTTTATTCCTCAAGGTAAACACTTACTCTATGCCAATAACTATGCCAAGGATGCTTATGCATTATATTAATTAATGAGAGTTTCTCAACCTCAACACTGTGGACACTTTGGGCTGGATAATTCTTTGTTGTGGGAGCTGCCCTGTGCATTGCAGGATGTTTAGCAGCACCCCTGGCCTCTGTCCACCAGACACCAGCAGCACCACCCCCTTCCCCAGTTGCGACAACCAAAAATGTTTGCAGACATTGTCAAGTGTCCCCTGGGGACAAAGTCACCCTCAGTTGGGAACCACTAAGGGAATCCTAATATAGACCAATGACAAAGGTACAACTATTATTTCTACTTTACGGTAAACTGAGGCGTAACAAGGTTAAACCACATGTTCAAGTCACATAGGAAGAGCTGGGAGGTGGGCCAATCTGTTTCCACAGCCCTTACGTTTATTGTCCTTCCTGCTTTGCCTATCTCTGCACGCATGGTGCTGAGGACTCTGTAATACTTAATAAACCCATGCAAAGGTGGACCATTTCTTATGGCAATCCCTACTATTTATACTACATTTACTACCTTACCTTCTGTAAACCACACTACAACTCTACAGTGTAGCTTCCTGCTCCCATTTTATAAAGGAGCACACTGAGACCTAGATTGACAGGAGGGGATTGCCCCAAGTCACAGAGCAGAGCAGCCACCAGAGGCTGGCTTTGGGCCCACGTCTTGTAATTCTACACTCTCTAATACTCAGAGAGTTGAGTAAACACCAATTAAACTATGGGAGGATGGCAGGCTGGCAGGCAACTTAATAAAAAAAAAAAGCAAATCCATCATGATGGATATATTTAGCAGGTAAATTATTATGTGATGGTATAAAAATAGATCAAGAGAGAGCACATGAGATTGCAAGCCTGACTGTGTGAGAGACAGGGAAGGCACGTGGAGAGTGTCAGGTACATTTAATTAACTTTGCTGGGAAAACAGTCAGAGGCTGCCACCTGAAACCAAAACATTCATGGGCTTCACTTAAAGTCACAATATATGTAGTCCTATTGGGAAGAGTCATAATCCAATAAAGCTTGAAGTCATTGATTAAAACAATGTCAATGCTCAAATGCTTTGGTGGGTAAACCCAATTCTCATCTGTATATGGGATAACCAGGAATGCATTTGTGGGCTGTGTGACCCACAAGCTCGCTGACATTAAAATGGTCCACTCAGTTTTCTGCTCAGATGGATTTCCAAGAGAGAAGGAAATCAACATGTATTGAGAGTCAACAACTCATTCATTGCTGTGAGTTTATTCTGCCTATTTTAGACAAAGAGACTCAGGCTTCAAGAGGGCAAGTAAATTGCCCATACTGCCACCGCTGGTGCAGGAATGAGCTTCTGGGAAGAGTCAGGTTCATTGAGTCCTGCTACCACCAGGTACCTCATGAGGCCATCCAGTCTTGCGGCTAAGGGTTTAGGTGCTGCTGTCCAGACGATTGTGAGTTTAAATCCTGGGCCCACCCACGCCAGCTCTGTTACTTGAAGCATGCTATTGAACTTGCCTAAACTTCAGTTTGCTCATCTGTAAAATGGGAGCTATAATAGTGCCAGTCTCATAAGACTGATGGGAGAATGTAATGAGCTAAAGTGTGCAAAGCACTGATAAATATCTAATGAAAGCTTGGCAATGATAAAATGCCATTATTAATATGGTTACCATTGTGCTAATGTCTAGAGGAGCCCCATATGGCATGGAGCTATACCCTGTGGACTTATGATCTCTCTTTATTCCATGCAAAATGGAAAGTGTACAGTCATGAATCAGGGTTTGAGTGTGAGAGCAGACAAGTAGTGATATTTAAATATTCATTAGCCAGGGTTCATCTAGGTCCCTGGGGACAGGCGAGGAGCCTCAGGATTAATTTCAGGGGACTTTTCCCTGAAATGGGTGGGGAAACTCTGCTATGGTCATGTACATCTTATTAAGCACTGCTTGACATCCTCCCTACCACAAAAGTGCTGTGATTTCAAGATTTCCCTCTTTTACGGGAAAACCATAGCACAAGAATCTACACTTCAAACCTTATATCTATCTATTTAAGCACAGAAGGAGCCTGTTACTTCATAGAAGAATCATATTTTGCCTTCAGAAGAAGCAGTTATCAAGTGCTCGCTGGACTTCAGCTGTTTTCACATCCATTTTAGTTTGAAACTCAATTGCCCTGCAGACCTTGTGATCCTTGAGTGACAGGTGAGGCACCTGAGAACATGGGAGTGAATGCACATGCTCATGGCTTTCCTGGAATTTGTGGCATTGGAAAATGGAAGGTAGGTGTTTCTGGGTCTCAGAAATCTGCACATCAGAACCCCTCCTAAGGCGTGTCACATGTGGTCGGGAAGATGGAGACGGTTCAAGGGGCCTGTTTGTCTAAATAGGATATGGGAGAAACATGGGAAAGAATCATTCTCTTCTCCATCTCAGTAAAATCTAAAGCTCTTTCAATGCCCCAAACCCACACTCTGGTAGAAACTTCACGCATTTATCCAATTTATTCCTCACAACCTGGTAAATATTGTTATCTTCATTCTACAGGTGAGCCATTAAAGGGCCCATCTCTGGTAGCAAGTGATAGAAACACTATTTGAGCCCAGAGCTGATTCCTGAACCCTCACTGGCCCCACTCTGTCGTCTCCTTGGTGCACCTGTCGCAATGCAATATCCCAGATATTTCTTATATTACTGATTTCTCTCATGGATTGTCTGCCTTCCCATCTAGAATAGGAGCATTCAGAAGATAGAGACCTGGGCCTTTCTTCTTCATGCCAGTTTCCTAGCATCAAAAACAGCTCTTAACACACAATAAAGGCTCAATCAATATTTGTTGAATTAATGAATGAGCCTTATAACAAACTATTGTGCTTCCCGATTTTTCAGAAGTGTATCTGAGTCTTTTATACAGAGATATCCAAGCAGGAGTGGAAGAATTTTTTTTTAAAAGTAACAAAGTCAGGCCTAGTCGACAGTCTGAATGCCTCATTATAATATAACATTTCCCCCCTCTCTCTCAAAACAGGAGAATTAGCTCACTAACTATTATATAAGCTCTTTAAGGACAGGGAACAAATCTAATTGAGCATTACATCCTCAAAGGCTGCTAGAAATCTCAGTACATCAGAGATGCTCAAAACTATGGAAAGAAAAAGATGTCCTCAAAGAAATAAAACGTCGGCACATATTCTTCTTTTCATTCAACTATCCACTGATTTACTTTCATGGGCCAGGCTCTTGGGTACAATGTGCATGAGGCAGTTCAGGTCCCCACCCTCCTGGGACTTGGTCTAACTAATGCTTCTGCACAAATGAGCTTCCAACAGTTACATATTCTCTGATATTGTAAGATGAACCATAGGCCGTTAAAGAAGAAATGAAAAAAAGAAGAAAAAGAGTACTTAACGATTGCATTCTTCGTGTTTCTTGCCAGAATGGACCAGAAACTACTAGCAATTATGTTGAAGACATTAGTGCAAAGCCAATTTGCTTCTGGAGTTACAGTTGCACTCTAGGAACGTGAGCTACACTCCAGAGAGATCATTAGTTGCTGTAGACAGGTTATTGAGGGCAGTGGTGTCATTTCCAGTCTGGAATGCCCTCAGTCAAGTGTGAGTGCAGAAAAGAGGGGAGGAGGGTCAAAATAATTAACCTCACATGATTTTGGCAGGACATCTTGCAAAATCGCCCATATGCACTTAACATTTCTTTCAGTTGAATAATCTCACTGTATCATTTTTATCAAAATATTTGTCTTTTTCTCTTTTATTTTCCCACCTGGCTGCCCCTCCCTTTTTTTCTGGCTGTCAATATGAACACCTTTGACTTACTTTCTTTTATTCTCTTCTCCCTTCCCATCCTCAGTAGTAGATGGTTGTAACTAATGGAACTTACAAGTATTATGGTTGATAGCTTTGCTAGGCCTTTCAGTACCATAATCCTTCACCAGATCATAACTCTCAAGAGAAAACACCTAATTTTTCAGTTTGTAAAAACTTTTCTTGACTTTGTTTCAATTAAGTCAATTTCACTGACCCCAGGCCTCCATTAACTATATCCTTCCAAATCATTTGTTTCACCACTCAGTGCCTGAGGCTACGGCAGACATCCTAGCAGCATCCCACCTGACAGAGGAGATGAGAGTGGGGCTGGCGAGGGTTCAGGAATCAGCTCTGGGTTCCAATACTGTTTCCACCAGTCACTACTGGAGATGGGCCCTTCCACAGCTCATCGGTAGAGTTAGGATAACAACATTTACCAGCTTGTAAGAAATAAAATGGATAAGTATGTGAAGTTTCTAACAGAGTATGGATTTTGATGAGCCTGAATTCCATCCTCTTCATTCAACAAGCATGTCTGAAATCCACCTATGTGCAAAGCGTTGTATACTACACAAGTTTTACAGCTGGGTGAGTTGGCTTATGTCTGTAATCCCAGCACTTTGGGAGACTGAGGCAGGAGGATTGCCTGAACCCAGGAGTTTGAGACCAGCCTGGGCAACATGGCAAGATCCTGTCTCTACAAAAAATTTTAAAACTTAATGAAGCATGGTGGCATGTGCCTGTGGTCTCAGCTGCTTAGGAGGCTGAAGAAGGAGGATTGCTTGAGCCCAGGAGTTTGAGGCTGCAGCGAATTGTGATTATGCTGCTACACTCCAGCCTGGGTGATAGAGCAAGACCCTGTCTCAAAAAATAATAAATAAATTAAACGTTTAAATAAATAAAAAGTTTTGCAACTGGTATGAATATTTCAATAATTAGGAGTATAATTATGGTCACATATTTTTGTTGTTATCAAATGAATCATCACTCAAGCCATTTCACCTAATCAGCATGAAGTCCAGAATCTCTCTCCTTACTTCTTGATATTATTTTATTTTTCCTGTATTTATTCTCACCACTTATCCAAGAGCTCCAGGGCTTTCTCAGTCACTCTTGCTTTACAGGGATGCCCAATTGTTTGGCTTTCCTGGGCCACATTGGAATAAGAAGAATTGTCTTGGGCCACATATAAAATACACTATAGCTGATGAGCAAGAGCAAAAAATGTTTATAATGTTTCAAGAAAGTTTACAAATTTGTGTCGGGCCGCATTCAAAGCTGTCCTGAGCGGCAGGTTGGACAAGCTCGCTTTAGAATATCAATCAGTGCATGGAAAAACCCTGTCTCTACTGAAAATACAAAATTAGCCAGGCATAGTGGCACACGCCTGTAATCCCAGCTACTTGGGAGGCTGAGGCAGAATTGCTTGAACCCGGGAGGTGGAAACCGCAATGAGCTGAGATCACACCATTGCACTCCAGCGTGGGCAAGAGGAAAACTCCATCTCAAAAAAAACCAAACCAACCAACCCATCAATGCAGTCTCCTCCAAGGGCAAGTGCAATTGCCCCCAATTACCACCAGAGGTCACTATGGAAGAATGATCTCATACAGCTCCAGAGACTTCCTACCCCAGCCAAGACATGCTGGTGCTGTCCTAGATGATTGCACAGTGGGAAGCTGCAGTTATACTTCCCTTCTTCACAAGCACACATGTTCAAATGTCATTACACAGGTCCTTACACCGTGTCAGGGGAACCAGGTGCTGAGACCCTTCCAGACTCATTTATACCCTGACCAGTCTACCTGGTCCCTTATCTCCAGCCCATGAACCTTGGTGAGTGCCACCACTCTCTGCCCTGCTGATTTCCCTCATCGAATGTTTCTAGGATCAGGGTTAATATCTTCTTCCCTTTCTGCCTTGTGGATCTACAGAATCCCTTTGCAGATTGGTTTATGCTTTCCCAGGCCCCTACATAACAAAGAGAGACAGCTTCTGCTATTTCTCAAAAAGCATCTCCAGCAATATCTATCCCCCTTCCCGATAACACACACAAAAAGTCCTTGTTACAACCTCAGGAAAATGAGTGCTTCTCATAAAAGAAAATGTGGTTGTCCTTCACAGAGAAGGACTGCAAGCTTTTTTTTCTTTCCTCCCTCCCCCCAAATGATTGCTGTTGTATCAGTCTGGCCAGATGCTCAGCCTTAGGTACTAAAAACATAAAACAATACAAGCAACAACACATCGCCCTGGAGAATCTTAAAATCCAGCGAAGTCAAGTAACTCCCAGACCACTCCAGGCAGGAAGGAATTGCCCTGTTTGTTTAATCCTCATTCCATCAGACATGCTTCCAAGGAGACCAAGAAATCCTAAGTACCAAGGACCATGAAAAGGCAACTGAGGAGGCATATGAACAAAGGAAAACTTGAACACGCAGGCCTCTGTCATTGCCCTATGGGCTCTTTCTACCTGCTGCACAGACAAAACCAATTCACTGAGAGCATGGTATTTCAGTAGAGAAAGAGTTTAATTAATGCAGAGCTAGCTAAGTAGAACGGGAGTTATACCTCAAATCAGTCTCCCCAGGAACTCAGAAGCTAGAACTTTTATGGATAATTCGGTGGATAGGGGGCTAGGGAATGGATGCTGCTGATTGGTTGGGGATGAACTCATAAAGATTCAGCCCTCATGTGCTGAGTCTGCCTCTGGGTGGGGGCCACAGGACCAGTTGAGTCATGAGTCCCAGATATGGGTGGATTCATTTGGCTGTCACAAGGCAATAATCTTAAAAAGCATTTCAAAAGAGCAGTTGAGGTTCTACAATGGTGATGTTATCTGTAGAAGCAACTGAGGAAGTCACAGATCTGGTGACCTTTGGCCACATGACTCCTGAACAACAAGGGATTATAGAAAGGCAAGCTAGAAGACAATAGCTGGTTATCCTTTAGCTGCATCTACATCTTAGCACAATTCAGGCTCCTCCCATAATCCTACTTTTATATCCTTTCATTAGTCTTACAAAGGAAGTTGCAGTCACTGAGCAACCAGGGGGTTCGTTTTAGGGAGGAACTATAATCATTCATGCTTCAAAGTTGAATATGAATTAAATTTCTCCCGTGGTTAGCTTGGCCTATGCCCAGCCTGTGAGGCTAGAAGGAAGATGGAGTCAGCTATATTAGATTTCTCTCACTCTTGTAATCTCTGCAGAGGCAGTTTCAACCCCACCCCAGCCACCCCACCAGGAGATATAGCCCTTCGAGGAGTTTTAGGGAGGAATGAGGCTAATGAGTTAGCTGTGGGTAGGCCAGGAGAAGAGCCAATTTCAAAATCCATCTCCCTTTTCCATCCCTTGCACATTGTGAGTAAATGCAGAACTAAGGAAATGAAGTGAGTGATGTCAAGGACAAATATCTCCTCACCTTCTGGTTAATTCCTTTTGACAACCCAAAGCCTGAGGCACTTCAGTCTTAAACTGTGTTCAATGCCTTAGCTTTCTTTCCAGGGAAATGCAGCAAGGATGCTGCCACGATGTGCATACTCAGGATACAGGAAAATGCAAGGAGGAGGGGTTCGAAGGCTTTGCATAAAAAAATCAAATGAGGTTGAGCAATTGTTGAAATATGAGGAAATTGCTTCCAGCACTTTAAAGTCTTGGCTTGACTTGTAATTTAACCTTGAATATAGTTTTCAAAAATCATTAAGTCCCCAAAGCCTTCATCTCAAGCAGTGATTAGCCATGATGCAGTAAGCAGGAAGTTAATGTATTTATTTATGAGAAGGTATGTAATGCATGAAAAATCTATTCATTCAGTACTCATGACATGAATACTTACTGATGGCTTGCTCAGTTACAAGCACTATGCTAAGTGCTAGGAAGTAGGACAGTGAGCAAACACAGCCTCCTTCCCCACAAGGCACTTACAATCTAATAGCAGGAGGGACAAGGAGTTAACATTTATGGAATACTGCTGCATGCCAGACATTGTGCTAGGAAATTTTCACACATTAACCCCTACAAGAGCCATGCCATTTTCCCTGTATTATATATTAGTCAAGTGGTGTAGCTGTTTGGGGTAAATGCCCGTGGTTCATTATCTCACACCAAGAAGGTTAAGGACACAGGCATACACAGGAGTGAGTTTAGGAGTGGAGGTTCAATAGGCAAAAGAAAGAGAAAAGAGAACAGCTCTCTCTCTTGCAAGAGAGTGGAGTACCCGAATGGGACTTCTGGGCCATGGTGGAATGCACCAGATTTTATAGACAGATTTGAGGACACGGTGTCTGATTTACATAGGGCCTACAGATTGGTTGGACCAGGTGTGATGTTTACATAGCATGTGGGGAAGACTGGCCACTCTGCCCTAATCTTATGCAAATGGACTTGCCACTTGGCCAGCACCATGTTGTCTGCTCCTTACTGTACACATGGCTGGCAAAAAGAAGGGAACATGGAGCCACCATTTTGAACATTCCAAGTCCAAGGTGGCCTTCACCCATGCAAGGTTCCAGCTTGTTTACCTATGTCTGCTGCTCAATTTTACAGGTTGCTCTTTGTTAGAAAAAAAAATGATTTGGGGGCTACTTTTCATTATAAAACGAAAACCTTACCAAGGACTTTCACATCCTCACTACCTGCCTAAATAATTTCTTCATAAGTCCTATATCATTAGTAAACTCAGGCTCTGAGAGGTTAACTAATTTACCCAATGCCACCTGGTTACAATTGGAATATCCAGAATTCAAACCATGGCCTGTTTGATTCCAAAATCTGTGCACTTCTTATCACTTTCTTCAAGGACAGAGCCAAACAGGAACAGAGGCTGCCCAACTCCCTTCTGTACTGAGCTCTGTTTTCCTGGTTTGCCCATCTGTGTAACAAAATGCTGAGTGCAAATGTTAGTTGGGACTAAGCCAGTCACCATCCTCTTCCTAACAAAGTGAAAGAGTTTTATTTTAATTCAGAGTTATATTAAGAAAACCAAAGATATGGGATGAGAAGGTAAGAATTCCCTCTTAAAAATAATAGGAAGGAAATAATGTGTTAACAACAGCAATAGTTACTGCAGTGCTCACTGTGCACCAAGCACATGCTACAAGTAGGACACAAAGGCAGTGAAATTCTCAAACCAACCCAAGAAGTCAATACGATTATTATCCTCACTTTACAGAAGAGAAAACCGAGATGTGGAGAAGATAAGGAACTTGCTCAGGGTTACACAGCTGGTTAGTGAAGAGCTGGATTTGACTCCAGGGTCTAGGGTGTTACATGAGAAGCAGTCATTATATTGATGGCAAGATAGATGGATGGATGGATAGATAGACAGACAGATAGATGGATGGATGGATGGATGGATAGATAGATAGATAGATAGATTGGATAGATGATAGATAGATAGATAGATAGATAGATAGATAGATAGATAGATAGATAGATGATAGGATGGATGGATGGACAGATGGATAGACAGATGATAGATAGATAGATAGATAGATAGGATTCATAGATATGTAGGTAGGTAGGTAGGTACATAGATAGATAAGATGGATAGATAGATAAATAGAATGGATAGATAGATAAGATGGATAGATAAATAGGATGGATAGATAGATGATAGATAATAGATAGATAGATAGATAGATAGATAGACAGGATGCATAGATAGGTAGGT